TTCTCTGTAAATTCTTCTCCTCTGGCCATTGTCAGCTCTAAGCTGGCTCTTGATGATTGAGTGAAGGTCTGTTTGACGCTGTGTCCGTTCGAAATCGGTCTTGGCAAAGTTGATTTTTGCATGAAATGTAACCCAATTTGTATTTCGTATGGACACTCGAAAACCCACTCCCGTGGTATGGGACTTCTGCTGATCGTAGATCCCTGAAAATTGGTACGCGAGGAGAACATACCACACTGTCCCCTCCATAAAATATTTGAGTCGAATACAATAACAGAACATGAAATTATGGGCGTACGAACTTAGGATACCATGTACGGACTTCGAGCACCTGGGTCTACGAGGCCAGTACCGCGGAATCCAGCCCGCGCCGCGATAGCGGCAAGGGCTGGATGAACAGCGGTACTGGCCGAGTATGAGTGACTGGAACGTGTTTCCCGTGTGCACCCAAGCCAAATAAAGATACATGACAGACACACCTGCATTGTGTTTTGTGATTGTTTTCTGGTACAGTTTTTTGTAGTAGTCCATAGTGCTTTTTTTCTCGCGCGGCCATTGACATTGTCGACTGGGCATCGGGCATTCTGGCTGTTCTGTTCCTACGGATTTTTCCCACTACACGTCTTGATCGGAAACCTCGGCAAATTGCGCGGATCCTGCAGGTTGCTGAGCATTGCGCGCTTTGGTTGAGGCTCATCCGGCTCGTCCAAGATCTCCTTCGCGAGCGACTCCGCAATAAAAGTTTCAGTCACTTCCTCAACTTTTCGGAGGAGCTCATTCGCATCGCCAATATCGTTCAACAAAGGGGCTTCTTTTCTCCCAGTTCCAGATCAAATGTTGGAGCGCCATGATGACAGTTGTGGTTGCAAACAGTCGCTCTTCTGCTTTAGTTATTTTATTAGTAACCAATGAAACTTGAAAGACCTTGAAGTAGAGTCAGTCCAGTGGCTACTGCCCGGCGACGGCCAGTTGAATCCGTTCCTGCCCGTCGTCAAGTGACGACGGGCAGTGGAATCCGTTCCTGCCCGTCGTCACTTGACGACGGGCAGTGGAATCCGTTCCTGCCCGTCGTCACTTGACGACGGGCAGTGGAATCCGTTCCTGCCCGTCGTCACTTGACGACGGGCAGTGGATCCAGTTCCATCACCTTTGAGCAGGCAGGACCGCGCTTTCCAGCCCGCGCTGTTTGATCTGTCATTGGTCAACTCCACCTACATGTAGACCAGGGAGTCGTACTCAAACTAGGGAGGTGACACGGCAAAGAAATCCGTGTCACAGGGGTTGACTCGCACCCGTGACCCCTCGTTGTTATTTTTGGAATAGTTCAGTCCAGTCCAGTCCGAAAGGTCATACTCGGATCGACTCGCCTTCTGTACTTCACCTCCAAGCGTGCAACGCAAGACCCCCAAAGTATGATTTTTCTGTGGGGAACGATTTTGCCATTGATCAAGTTTTTATAGGAGTGCTCAAGCATACTACGATTGCTGAGACGTCCCGAGCACGCTTGTTCAGGTTCTCTATTTTTGACGAGCCGGTCCTACAGCCCCCTACATTGTATCTAACGACGTACGAGCTGACAATGATGATTATGTAAGAGGATTTCCCTGGAAGTAATGATGATGGTGGTGTGACTGCTGCAGGAAAAATGCTGGCTGTTTATGACAGTATGACTAGATGTACAATGTAGCTCTCTTGTATGGTACTTAACCCCTGCTAGAAATGTGTTGTTTAGGAAGACTGGTGTATTGTGCAAGTCATAAAGAAGAAATGGGGCAGATACACGACTTACAATTTTCAAAAACCAGCTTCGTGTTATGTCTAATTTGTGTCAAAATTGTAATATTTAGACATGACAATATCATTGGCTGTACTTCTCTAATATGGTACATAACCCCTGCTATAAATGTGTTATTTAGGCAGACTGGACCATTGTGCAAGTCATAAAGAAGAAATGGCGCAGATTGACGACTTACATTTTTAAAAACCTGGCTTCGTGTTATTGTAGTATCCCTGCCCGACCAATACGGAAGCAGTACGGAACTAATACGGAGCTTTGCCTGATGTATATTTAGTGTATCTCCGTATGTAAGCGTACGTCGTCTGCTGCATAAAAGCGGCTGCGCATTTCTGTTTTGATGAAGAGAAGATTAGATTAGATTGGATAGCAATGAAAGCTAACTCGAAGAATAAGGATTCAGCCTCTAGGTGAGCACCGGAGAGAAAGTTATTTATTTTGCCGCTTCTTCTTTCACGAACGATTATATCTCAGGTGTGTACCTGAAAGTAGAATAAAAGTAATTATTGTTGATTTCACCGCGCCTACCACTCGGCTACCTATTACATTGGTGGCAGCGGTGTAGTTTTAAATAAAACAACGTGATTCGACCCCAGACTCCGATGGCTCAACCCGCTACAGCTCCGTGCGACGAATCAAGGTGAGAATCATGTAACTGTTTCTTGCCTTCCTCGGCCTGGCACTGCTTATTAGCCTGCAGCTCAGTCAGGGTGCTAGCGTGGATCACCCTTCCCTCCGCATGGCGTCCACTGGAGACTCCAATGGCGATTCCAAGCGACCCGCTACCTACACGTATACTACCGGTGGTGATGGCGAAGCTGATGAGGAGGACGACATGCAGGCTGCTGACCAAGACAAGGAGGGTATTCCCCAAGACCAGCAGCGTTTGATTTTCGCCGGCACGCCGTTGGCAGACGGCCGAACCCTGAGTGACTACAACGTTCAGCAGGAGTCCACTATTCACTTGGTACTTCGTCTCCGTGGTGGGATGCAGATTTTCGTCAACACTCTTCCTGGCTAAGACCATCACTCTTTACGTCGCGCAAAGCGATGCTATCGACAATGTGAAGACCACGATTCAAGACGAGGAGGGAGGTCATTTGTCTGACGCCGAGCTAGCCGCTCTGAGTGACCGGCTCAACCAAGATGAAGATAACACCTGGCTTGCTCTCCGCCGTAGCTCCAGCCGCCGCCGTGGTTACTAACGCTGATTCCAGGTATGGCATTTTCTTTCCTGTCTTCCTTCAGTCTCCCTGTTCTCTTCAGTCTTCCTTTATGCGAGTGTGTGAATCCAGTTTAGTTTGGTAGGCGTCTGATCATGGTGAGCCACGGCTTACCCAGCTAACGTGGGACAATGTGTGTGACAACGCCCCTTATAGTTATAGCAAGAGTAGATAAACAAGAGTGTGCAACTCCGGATCTCTCCTGCACAATCTGCAGATACCGCGCGCCCACGGCGGAATTTTTTGTTTACGTCACCTTTTTTCAGAGAAACGCGGCTTTGCCGCAGAGCAGTGTGAGAGCACGTGCTGGGCACCGACCTTGTAGTGTAAAGCCCAGCCAAGTGCACGAGGGAAAACTCTCCAAAAGGCTCGCAGCGCGTGCGTCGTCGAAAAGATTACGTCAACAAAAAATTCCGCCGTGGGCCAATCCATCCGGAGTTGCACACTCTTGTTTATCTACTCTTGGTTATAGTGTATTCAGTTCGGTTTTTGAACTGCGATGTTCCTGGCGGGTTGTGCCAGCGTTGTGCAGCAAGAGTGCTGTGGCTTCAGGTCCTATTTGGAGGACAGTTCTTTCCCCTTTTGACCCCGTGAGGTCGTGTGAACCTGGTGTGCTTCTACTTTATGATTTGTTATCAGTTCATTTCTTCTGTCTACTCTAAACGTTATCATTTCCGATATAATTTGCCATCTTCCGGTTGACGCTGTGTTCGTAACTCTTCACTAATTTTTTGGAAAATCACGAGGGCGTGATTATCTGTAGGAAGGGAGGGTGTAGTATCCCTGCCCGACCAATACGGAAGCAGTACGGAACTAATACGGAGCTTTGCCTGATGTATATTTAGTGTATCTCCGTATGTAAGCGTACGTCGTCTGCTGCATAAAAGCGGCTGCGCATTTCTGTTTTGATGAAGAGAAGATTAGATTAGATTGGATAGCAATGAAAGCTAACTCGAAGAATAAGGATTCAGCCTCTAGGTGAGCACCGGAGAGAAAGTTATTTATTTTGCCGCTTCTTCTTTCACGAACGATTATATCTCAGGTGTGTACCTGAAAGTAGAATAAAAGTAATTATTGTTGATTTCACCGCGCCTACCACTCGGCTACCTATTACATTATGTGTAATTTGTGTCAAAATTGTAGTATTTCAACATGACAATATCACTGGCTGTACTTCTCTTATATGGTACTTAACCCCTGCTAGAAATGTGTTGTTTAGGAAGACTGGTGTATTGTGCAAGTCATAAAGAAGAAATGGGGCAGATACACGACTTACAATTTTCAAAAACCAGCTTCGTGTTATGTGCAATTTGGGTCAATTTTTAGTATTCGGATTAACCTAGGATACGACTCTGAACAGTTCTGAACAGTTACCGTAACACTACACGCTGTCTCATAACTGCTGCTGTTGCCATCACTGCTATCAAGTAGTTCGGACATGGCAGGAGGTAAACAAATTGCTGGTAGTCTTTCAAAGAATACTGGCGAGTGATGGGCTGTAAACGAAATTTGCTGCCTCAATAATTTCAAAAACTAGACACCCATGCTGCACGCTTGGAGGTGAAGTACAGAAGGCGAGTCGATCCGAGTATGACCTTTCGGACTGGACTGGACTGAACTATTCCAAAATAACAACGAGGGGTCACGGGTGCGAGTCAACCCCTGTGACACGGATTTCTGTGCCGTGTCACCTCCCTAGTTTGAGTACGACTCCCTGATGTAGACCTACATCGTTCACACGTTATTGTACTGGCCAGTTTCTTCTTCTTCCTGCCTCGCGCGGCGGGCTGAAAACGGTTATGCAGCACGCAAGCAGAATGAAGAAGTTTGGACTTTGACCTGAACTTTGAACTGTTTGTCATCACTCCACATCTCCTTGCATAAAAATACTCTTTTTCGTTACAAGGCCGCAAGTCGGTGCAAGTCTGGACTGCATTTCCTTGCTCGTTCCGAGTCCACGACCTCTTGACTTGACTCTTCATCATACTAGCGATGCACTGTGCACATGTGCTACAAACAGGAGCCACATGCGGCATCAGAATACTTCTGAAGGGAGGGAAAAAAGAGGGAATCCGTGACACAGCGGTGTATTATTTTCTTGTGGACACCGCTTTCTTGGCGTGAATTGTATAGCTCACTACAAAACACCTCTCATTCTCGTGTTCAATTACGTTGCTGATGAGCGAGCAGGAGTGCCAAATCAATCGAACTTTATTCCGTGAACCATATCGTGCAGTTCGCCCTCAGAATGCCGCGACTTCGTCTTCATCGCGCTGGATCGTCCAGCTTCGTCGTTGGCCCAAGACAGAAGGTGAGAGAGTGATGATATCCATGCATTAGCCGTGGCTGGCGATAAAAACCCTGCAATCGCCACGCAAATTCAGTGGTCATTGGTTGCCCCAGCCGTGTCTTGCTTGGAATAAAACTAAAAAAAGGAAAAAAAGAGGTGATAACGTGATTGGGTGATCCTAATGCCGTGCTCTGTACTAGTCTGTGAAAGCTATTCACCTCCAATCACTGCAAACCGTAATTCTTGGTGTCCACGCCGGGCTTTTGGGTCAACACATCGTCCAAGCAGTCCTACCGATAGAGTGTCATGAACCCAGTGTCTGCTCAAGCCAACTGGGTACACGTGTACCTGGCACAACTCTTGCAACCGAGTCAGTCCCGGATTCATTCAAGTGCAGGTATTGCACATCAGGGAATCTTAGGACTCCCTGATTGAGTCCCAACCGGGTGTTTTTTCCTAGCGAGTACCCCCCCCCCCAACCAGGTCCCTGACCCGGCCTACCCAGCTCTGGAGCAGACGCTGCTGGAAGATGCAATGTCATATCGCAGCTTCCGATTCAGAAATGCTCTATGTCTTCTTTGATGCCCCCTGCAGAATACTGCTCAGCCACAGTTCCTCCCAGATGAGCTGGGCTGGGCTCAGAACATGGTGTTGGAAGCCAATGCAGAAGACGACCAAGATGAAGTGGCTGGAGATCAGCCAGATCTGCTCGACGCTTGCTCTGTGTTTGACTTCCCGCAGTCGCAATCTCAGCATCGCCGCCGAGACAACCGTACTGACGGAGATGCAGGCACACTCACGAATCTGAGTAGTGGTGAAGAGGAAGCTGAGGACGACGGTTTTGAAGAAGTTTGGTGGCGTAGGCACCGACTGTCACAGATGCGAAGTAAATCCGAGCAGGTTGGTGATCCTCACAAGCACACACACACACACACACACGCACACGCACACGCACACGCACACGCACACGCACACGCACACGCACACGCACACGCACACGCACACGCACACACACACACACACACACACACACACACACGCGCGCGCGCACGCGCACGCGCACACACACACACATTGCTAGACGGGAGTAGGTCATGTAGGCTCCTCTACAATCCTTGACTTCGCAAGAGTATAACTACCGCCTTGGTGACAAAAATAACAGAATCACCGAGTTGAAGGGCATAATTATTATGAACCAGATGGGCGAGATAAGGTTACATTCTCGGATCTGCTCGGTCACTCTATTTGAACTTGAAAGTCCGCATATTTTTCGAAACATCAATAATATATAACCTACTGAGATGCGATGTGAAACTCTGCTGTCACCGCTCTAGACAGGCTCACTGCTGGCAGCCCAATACTATTGGGATTGCTCGCAGGGGCCTCACACATGGTACGGCCACTCCAGGGTGGCCATGGTCGTACCACTGTTCGTTCTGCATGGTACGCCCAATTCATCCAAGAAGCAATAAAAGAGGGCTAAAACTTCTGCCCGAGAATCAGAATGTTTTCCACGGGGACGCCCTCAAACCCCCGGCCCGTCATACCACTCGCCACTGCCCTGTGACGCCTTTGACTCAGAGCAAGTTGCAGCTGCTCGAGAGAGAGAGAGAGAGAGAGAGAGAGAGAGAGAGAGAGAGAGAGAGAGAGAGAGAGAGAGAGAGAGAGAGAGAGAGAGAGAGAGAGAGAGAGAGAGAGAGAGAGAGAGAGAGAGTGAGAGAGAGAGAGAGAGAGAGAGAGAGAGAGAGAGACAGACAGAGAGTGAGACAGAGACAGAGACAGAGACAGACAGAGAGAGAGAGAGAGAGAGAGAGAGAGAGAGCTGGACGGACCTCGGTGCAAATCATTATAATTATACAGGTGAAGAAAATACGAAAATGCAGCGCTGTTCCTGTTACTCCGAGTTCTACAGGTTAGCGACACCCTTGTGATTATGTACTGTTGCTGCTAATTACAGGATGCTATCAACCAGGAGGTGCAGCAGAACATCACACGGATGTTGAAAGAGCTGGGGAAGATACGACTGGCACATCGTCGACGGCAAACCGAGCGAGCGCAAAGTAAGAAAAGATTTAGTTGGTCTTGTGACTCTTGTCCCTAGAACAAATGCAGTGGGTCTGAATATTCCAGACACTTTTTTTAAAGAGCTATCAATAAAATGAAGGCCGGAACCATCACGCAACTTAGTTACTTGTTCGACATGTATGTGTACTTCATAACAAAAATAATTATTAAAATCCAGAATCTATTTTCTGTCCCGATCATCAGTGGAATTTACGGAACTGAATGTAACCAATGAAAGCAACTATAAAATGAAGCAGGGATTCCGGATTAGAATATTATTGTTACGAGAGAGCTTGGAAGCTCAGGGCCCTACGCTATGCTTTTTTGCCTTGATGACCTAGACAAAAAAAAGCATAGGGATGTTATAAGGCCACACGTTTTTATTTCTATGTTTCTCGTCACCTGCGCGCATACGATTCAGGAGTCTGGAAGAAAAAAAAGAAAAGAAACTGTGCTGCACTGACTCTGCATGTGGGAACCAGCACACTCATGCACATGTACATAATGTGGCCTGACCTGCGCGACACATGATGCAAGGACGGCATTTTTGTGCGCAATCTAGCTGCACCTGCACAGATTGTGACAGAAACTCCTACCACATACTAGTTGCTAACTTTGGATGCTATTTTGCATGGTGTATTGGTGGACTTTAGTGTGAAGAAAGGTCTAATAAACTTTTTTTATTTTCGGTCATTTTTTATTTTTTTTCCACCTCTCGCATATGTTTTTAGATTTTCAGGTGACGAGAAACATAGAAGTAAAAACGTCTGGCCTAAATTCTTAAAAAAAAAAAATTTTTAAAGACATAACCTGGGATTCGAACCCGCACTATTGCGCGCCAAGTTGCTTCACGTTATGATCTTGCGTTTGAAAGCCCTATTTGAATATTGCGGCCAGCTGTATATGTGGCCAGCTGTGTTTGATGGTACGGTACGGTACGGGACAGATACGGGATAGCGCCAGGCGTGACACAAACAAACAAACAAACAAACACACAGATACCAAATTAAAGCTGTGTGGACCCTGGCTAGCGCCAGACGTTACTGAAGTAACGTCTTCTGCATAGCTACGGGAATAAATTACACATGCATGTGAAACAAGTAACGTAGTTGCGTGATGTCTGCGGCCTTCATTTTATTCATAGCTCTAAGATTGTTTGTACCCTATTTTAAAATTGTGACTACAAGTAGATAGATCATTATACACAATTCCGGCAGCTATTTCATTTCGGCTATATTCGGCACCGAAACAAAGCGCTGAAATCAAAACGCTGATGAAATTTTCCACATCGGCTTTGGTGATGTATTAGTATAAACTCTACGTCAAAAACAACTCGCTGCCGAAATGTCGAAAAATCATGAAATGCCGAAATTGTTGCACCGCCGATTGTCAGCAGTATTCTTGATCACATCAATGTGACTTAGGCCCCGGTCACACCGAAACAAGCCACTTTGGGCTTGTTATCGCTGGCGCTCAGCTGGCTTGCGTGGTCCCTGTGACGCGGTCACACCAGACCTTGACTGCAAAGCTTGAATGGCTTGTTTTTCTTACCCACCAAATTTTGAATATCTCGAAGCACACCAATGTTTGCAAGAAACCGGAAAGCAGAACGTTCGCGATCTAAAACTGTACTTGTTCTTGTGTTCAGTTTTGATGAAGAAGCAAAGGATGCCCGGATTCTGAATTGCGAAGTCGTGCTCTTTTTATTTGTTCGGTGTGCATGGACGCGATGGTTCGGGTGGTGTTTCCTGATGTCGAGCTTTCTACCCCGCCGGTTGCCGTTCTTCAACTCAGTTGCAATCCACTCTCTTCTTCGTACCCGGCTTTCTTCATGAATTCGGTCGTGAGTGTGGTGCCTTGTCTTGGCCTCAAACAACAGCTCCAACAATCTACGCAGCAGTCTAGACGCACAGCGGCAGAAATCCATGGTCGTCGGACAAATCCAAATCAAACTGAATACAGTGTAGTTGGATAGACAGACTCACAGTCAAAACCAAAGGCGCAGGGATAGCACGGTTCCACGGACACGAAAAAGAACATCAATAATTATCAGTTCATCATGTCAACTAGCTACATGGTGTGCTCCAAGCGCACTCAAATTATTTTTTGAATTTCGGCTTTCAGCCGCTTGTACAAGCTGTGGCTGAAACAAGCCGGAAAAAAAACGGCTGAGAGTCAGCCACGGCTGAAAGTCGCTTGTTGGACATTTTTCAGCCGTTTCCATGGTAATAGTGACGTAAACAAGCGCTTTTTTCGGCTGAACGGCTGAATCGAGCTCGGTGTGACCGCGGCCTTATGCTGTTGGCTGGTAGCTATGAACTGGTTATATGCATTGCGGCTTTGGCGGATGTTTTTGTCTTTTTGATGACAAAGGCTGCAGGGACTATCACTTCCTTTGTTCCTTAGACAACATTTTCATTGTGTGTGTGTGTGCGTGTGTGCGTGTGTATGTGTGTGTGTGTGTGTGTGTGTGTGTGTGTGTGTGTGCGTGCGCCCGTGTGTGTGTTTATGCCAGTGCCGCCGCCAAGTCTGGCTCAACCTGTAGTTACAAGGCCCTGCAAGGAGAGCAGACACCAGACATCTTATCAGCCTTCTAGCAGTACGACACGAGGCAATGATCTAGCAGCAGCAGCAGCGCGTAGCACCAACAACAATACTAATGATGTCACCGATAGCCCACTACCATTTTCGCTGAGTCAGTATCGTCATCACGTGGAGCAGTACTCCCGTCGGCTTCCCAAGCCAGTAGCACATCGACGTCGGAACCCATTAAACACCAACAATACCGATTCTTCTGAACCGAATTCTGCTGTTGGGAGCTCGCGAAAGGATGCCGTACCCAGGAAGGCAAAGGCTCTCCGACAAAAACAAAAGCCTGTGTTGGAGGGTCTACCACAGGGAATGGCACCGCCTGAGATCAGTCAAATCACCAGCAAACGACGCCGGCGGGCTTCGAAGAAAAACACAGTCACCTCCACAGCAGCAGAACGTCCAGCAGCCGATCTGAACAAGGAGCTGCAGTTCTCCGAGGAATCACTGAATGCCTACGCCGACTCGTGCCCAGCATCACGGCATTCTAGCCGCGGCAAAAGCCAGCCATCAACGCCCAGTGCACGGATTGTGCCATCTTTCGGAAAGCCCCAACACACCCCAGGCGGCGCACGCTTTTCAGGAGGTAACACCCCCAGAACACTTGGCATGGTTCGGCAGAAGACTACACCAGCAGCCAGCAAAGATCCAAGGGTGAGTGAAAACAAAGTTTCACACTGAATCAAAGTACTTTTTGACATTCGTTGTTCTTTGGTGCACCAAGCACCAAAGACGAGGTTGCCAAAGAGATAACCAGGCTCAGTAGAAAGTCACCACAATAGTACTGTTGTACATGTTGTCGTGACTCGCGACATCATAAAGATCCCAACTCAACGGACATGAAAGACATTTTACGTTTCTTGATTTGGAAAGTTTGTTTCTTTCTTTCTCAAACAAGATCAAATTTCAACGGAAAAAGGCAGCTGCATCCACAGGCAGCTGCGCACAAAGAACATGCATAAAAATGGCGACCACACCCTTCATTTACGTGGCATGGTGACAAAAGGAACTAGTGCAGCGACAAAACAGAAATGGAGAAGAAGTGAACAGCAAGGAGAGCGAATCGCAAAAATGCACTAGCCTACTGTCTGTACAGTCATGCAGTTAGTGAACGCGCAGTCACGTGGTCACGTACACATACACGTCATACCAATACGTCATCATGGTCATGCATAACAAAAAGGAAAGGAAAGTCACGCGTGAGCAAAACAAATCAAGATCTCGAAAATACTCACAGGACGAAAACATAACGAAGAATTTGTTTGTGAACAAAATGCAAAGAATAGAGAAACGAATGATTGCTTCGAAGCTACTTCGAAGTAGAATGAAATTAATCACTAGAAAGGACGATGGGGAACTAGACTTCGGCTAACCCAAGCGTGGAATCAGCCACAACGTAAGCAAGCAAGAGAGTACAAAATCATCGTCATGTAATGCAAATATAAATTGGTTATTCCAAATTCATGTACATGTATTTCATCGCGACGTTCGCGACATATGTGGTTGCGCTTGTAGCTCTGTGTTGTACATGCGGCTGCGCGTGTAGCTCTTTGTCGTACACGTGGCTGCGCTTGTGTCTCTATGTCGTACGTGCTGCTGCGCTTGTGTCTCTGTGTCGTACATGCTGCTGACCCGTGGTACACGCTGCTGCGCTGTCTTGGAATGCTTTGTATATGCCACTGCACCATCTTCTGTCCCCTCCGTATGCATTCTTTCTCATCTCGTCCCCGTTGTATACGCATTTTCTCGTCTTGTCTCCGTTGTATTTGTCCAGTTGCCGTGTTGTGTCCGTCATATTTCATCGTCTGCCGTCTTTGTCTCCTATCCCGTGCGGGAATAGTATTATTCACGTTCACCTATTTCGCTTCAACGCCCCACTTTTGAGCACCTCTTTCGTCTCCATCGCCCCACTTTTTCCCCACTTTTTCCACGTCCCCACATTATATTCTCTTGTCCTGTCTTGTGGGAGTTCAGTTCTCCCGTCGGCTCCTGAAGTGAGGTGTTGGAAAAGATATCTCTCCAACAGAGAACAAACCAACGTATTAGTGTTCTTGCATTTGTGGCGTGGCGAGAGCATAGAAGGTGCAGATCGTCTCTTGCACGACGACAGTATGAGCGTGCCAGGCTGAAGTAAAGAGTCATGGACTATGGTCTGTTTTCATGTAACACAGCATGCACAGCGTACCTGCGCCATGGGATTGTCCAAGAATAGAACAAGAACAAAGACGCGGGGAAACTCGATTATAGTAACATCAGCGGCCTGAAGCGGAGACCCCTTTCCCCATTCTTTGGTGCCCGGTGGGGATGGGGGTAACGTTACTGTACTTCGAAGTACAGTAATTATATGTGGGATTGACTTCACCATTACGAAGACCATAGCGTATAGCACATTTACCAGGCAAATCTAAGCATTCGATCTTCTCAAAACCAAGCACAAAAATTGGACTTCTGAGAAAGTTGCATGAGTAGACACGTTTCGACCAAGCCCGTCTACTCATACAAAGTCGTACCAAGAACCAATGTGATCATCAAACCCACTATGGCATTGATTGAAAAACTTCTCAATATTGGTGTCTATGTTTTAAACTTTGGAAGGGTTTAGTAGAGGGCACTGGAATGGCACCAACAATAATGGCTGTACGTACCAGTCTAAAATACAAGAAATAATTCAGTCCCCAGTGTCTGCTCTAGGATTTCAAACCAACCGGGTACACATGTACCTGGCACAACTCTTCCAACCGGGTCAAAGGCGGGTACGTTCAAGTACGGCTACTGCATGTACATGTACATCGGGGAGCTGTACATAATAGTACTCCCTGCTGTACATAATAGTACTCCCTGCTGTACATAATAGTACTCCCTGCTGTACATAATAGTACTCCCTGCTGTACATAATAGTACTCCCTGCTGTACATAATAGTACTCCCTGCGCAACGTAGCGCACCTCTGTCCAGCCATCACACCCGCTATCGTAAACTGCTACCGTCAGCCGGCCCGCCTATTCGTGGACGGGGAGTGCCTCCTATCGCGAGAAGGCACAACGCAGGGAGATCCTCTTGCTATGCCGATGTACGCTTTGGGGGTACTCCCCCTGGTGCGCAGAGTGGCAACCCCAGGAACACGCCAGAGCTGGTATGCGGATGACTCGTCCGCGGGTGGCGGGCTCAACCCTCTCCGCCAGTGGTGGGACCGACTCGTCGGGGATGGGCCGGCGTTCGGGTATTTCATTAACCCCAGCAAGTCCGTCCTCGTCGTCAAGCGGGACAAGCTAGAGGCAGCCGAGACCATCTTCGCCGGCACGGGTGTGTCTATCACCACTGACGGGTGCCGTCACCTTGGATCAGCCATCGGAACTGATCAGTTTGTGCAGGAGTTTGTGGCTTCCAAGGTGGCCACCTGGTCGCAGGAGCTGTGCAAGCTGACAGATTTCGCCCGGTCACAGCCTCAAGCAGCTTACTCTGCACTGGTGAACAGCCTCCAACACCGGTGGTCCTTCCTGTGTCGGGTTCTCGATGGTGCTGCAGAACAGCTGGCACCCCTGGAGGACATCATCCACCGCCGCCTAATCCCTGCCATTAGTGGACGGACGGCGCCCAGTGAAGCTGAACGCATTTTGCTCACTTTACCTGCCGGCATGGAGGCCTCGGCGTGGCCAACCCTGCCACTTTTGGCTCACAGTACGGCACCTCCAGGCTAATCACCACTGCGCTGTACGACAAGATCATGGCGCAAGAAGAGCACCTCGATGATGCTCTTGCCTGTGTCCGCAGGGCCAAGAGTCAGGCTCGCTCTGAGGCCAGAAAGGCAATGAAGATAGCTGCCGATACGTTCCGCACCGAACACAGCGAACTCGATCTCGCTATCAGTCTGGCAGAGGAGAAGGGAGCATCAAGCTGGCTTACCTGCCGACCCATCGCTCGCCACGGCTTCGCTTTGTCGAAGGGGGAATTCCGGGATGGCCTCTGCCTCCGTTACGGTTGGACGCCTTCTCGCCTGCCCACCACCTGTGTTTGCGAGAAGGCATTCACCACTGCTCACGCCTTGTCCTGTCCTTTCGGTGGGTTCCCCTCGATCCGCCACAACGAGGTGCGCGACATACTGGCAAGCTCATTGAAGGGTGTCGCCCACAACGTCGCAGTGGAGCCACATCTCCAACCCCTGACTGGGGAGCAGTTTCAGCTCCGGTCAGCATCAACCGAGGATCAAGCTCGTTTGGATGTGGTGGCCAGTGGAGTTTGGGGGGGTCGGTTCGAACGCACTTTTATTGATGTACGGGTGTTCAACCCTTATGCGTCTTCGAACCGCACCTCCTCTCTCTCTGGCTGCTACCGGCACCATGAGCAAGAGAAACGGCGTCGATATGATCGGAGAGTCCGAGAAGTGGAGCGATCCACTTTTCTCCCCTTTGTGCTCTCTTCCACCGGAGGATGCGGCAAGGGTGCCACTGCACTGGTGAGCCGGATTGCACATCTCCAGTCGCTACGTGGGAGGGAGGCGTATTCTGTGCTAATTGCCCACCTCCGCTGCAGGCTGTCTTTCGCCCTGCTGCGTTCGAGTGTCATGTGTCTGCGTGGGGCTCGCCGAGTTTGGCAGCCTCCAATGGATGGCTGTGCCTCCCTGGCTGTCGTGGAGGCTAGGGTGTCCCGTTGAGCCTTGCCCCGTGATTGTGCGGACTATGCTATGCTTCTCTTGCTGTCTGATCACATGCGACGTCATCATTATGTGATTTGTTTTCAATCATCCATCATGGCAAATTGTGTTTTGTTCGCCCGTAAAAGAGGCTTTTACTACTAAAAAAAAAAAAAAAAAAAAAACTCCCTGCTGTACATAATAGTACTCCCTGCTGTACATAATAGTACTCCCTGCTGTACATAATAGTACTCCCTGCTGTACATAATAGTACTCCCTGCTGTACATAATAGTACTCCCTGCTGTACATACATGTAATAGTACTCCCTGCTGTACATAATAGTACTCCCTGCTGTACATAATAGTACTCCCTGCTGTACATAATAGGACTCCCTGGTGTGTATTCCCAACAGGGTCACAGGTGACCCGGTGTTCTTTTTCCAATCGGGTCCAAGTACCCCGCAACCGGGTCGCTGACCCGGCTGACCCGGCTCTGGAGCAGACACTGGTCCCCACTTGTCGGTGCTATCTGCTCATGAGTGTAATCACCGGTGTGTGTTTTGTCTCTGTTTAGACTTGCCGCACTGCAAACCACCCCACTAAGCAACCTACGGAGTTAGCCCCCGCTACAAATATGGTAACACCAGTCCTGGGTACGGCAGCAACACCAACAGCGGTGCCCCTATTGGCCATTGTGGAGTCGGTCGGCATGACGACACAGGTTACAGCAGTGCCAGCGACCGTGCCTCGCGTCATTCCCAATCTGTTCAGCCCGAGTCCGCGCCTGACGGTGGGAAACGAGTGCGAGCTACCGTATACGCAGACTGACGCTAGCCAAGTGTCTGACATATCCAACGTGAGCTCACTCCCTTTCTGATGAACCTCAGTTATTTTGTTTCCTGTTCGACCTTCATTGAAGTTGTCCATAATGGAAAGGGGTGGGGTGGACATGGTTTTCCTTTTCAAGAGTCGATCCAAGTCTACCAAAATACGGCACTTTGCGGGATCTCTCTGCATGCTTTGTTCTTATAATTATGTATATAAAGTCAACTTCGCTTATAACAACACTCAGCGGGGCATCAGAAAGGTGTCCTTATTCGCGAAGTGTCGTTATACCCGAAGTCTCATTATATGTATTACAGTTGTATGGGACTTTGCTCTGGGCATGGAAATTCTGTCGTTATTCGCGAGTTGTCGTTATATCCGCAGTCGTTATTAGCGAAGTTGACTGTAGGCAGTTTTTGTTTTGTTTCGAACTGTCTTCCACTATGATCATACTGGTTATGGTAACCCATGTTGTCACATTTGCTCGTACAGACTAACATCTTCTGTCAAGCAGTGATGGATGACACGGAGGACGAAGAGTCAACGGGTGCCTCACAAGAGCCAGGTGCCATGCAAAAACCCGCCCATCCCAATGGTAGTAGCAGCCCAAATGTGGAGAACGCTGCGGCGGATCACAGAGCTTTTCACTCGTCGAGCCAGGCGTGGATCTCGGGCGAAGAATCAGCGATACTGTCACAATCGAGCCAATCACAATCCTCACAGTCATCAAAGTTCAAGGTGAGAGTCTTCCTTTTACGGTGCGATAAAAGAATGACGAGAATGTTCAGACACGAGTATGTGAAACTGATCAGTGCCTTTCACGTATATGCAATTTCTGAAATGCAATTTTTTTATATTGAACAATGGGACGGGTACGCATGTGCGTGTTAGATACAGTAAAACCTGTGACTACTGACCACCCCTTGGAGCCAGCAAAAGCGGTCTTTAGTAGCAGGTGGTCTTTAGTTAGAGGTTTGCACCGTGCGACCATATATTTATTGTCAAGAGTAGATAAACAAGAGTGTGCAACTCCGGATCTCTCCTGCACAATCTGCAGATACCCCCGCCCATGGCGGAAGTTTTGTAGACGTCACCTTTTTTCAGAGAAACGTGCACTTTGCCCCAGAGCAGTGTGAGAGGACGTGCTGGGCACCGACCATATAGTGTAAAGCCCGACCAAGAGCACGAGGGAAAACTTTCCGAAAGACTCGCAGCGCGTGCGTCGTCGAAAAGATTACGTCAACAAAAAATTCCGCCGTGGGCCTACCCATCCGCGAGTTGCACACTCTTGTTTATCTACTCTTGTTATTATGGATCCCAGTATATGATATGCATATCAAAATGCAGCTAATACAATTCCCCAGGGCTTGCGCAATGCCATTCTTATTTCAGGTCAAACAACACTTGGAGAGAAAGACGGAGAGATGGAGAGAGACAAAAAAGAGAGAGAGAGAGAAGATTAATTTTTGCAGGCATCAAATTCAGCTGCTACTTCTGAAGCCAGGAGTCAAACGTTCCCTGTGGAAGTTTCGTTTTGCGCTGGGCTTCTAATTTGTTCATCTGATCAATCGTACCGACTATCCTTGTTGCGACTTCTCGATTGTTCGAACGCGATCCTTCAGCATCAGGACCTTGCGGTGCTGCTTTGTTTCTGGATTCCTTGACGCCATCGTCGATTCATTTGTATGACTGGGGTGACAGAGCCGCTCAGTCTTCGTTTCTCCTCCGAGTAGTAACATCGAGCAGAGAGCATTTTCGACGCGCTCTCCAAGACGTTTCCTATCATGTTTATTCTTGACAGGGCTTGAAATTCTTACAGGTGTAGTGCAGTCCACACCGACTCCACAGTCATAATGGCCTGCGTTCATTTGTTCAGCTGTAGTACCGAAAGATTCCTTTCAGGACCATGGAAAATCAGCAAAATTTCAAGAAGGAGCTTCGAGCAACATTTGATTTCCTACATCGCGGTCGCTAGTTACGGGTCAAAAATCGTCTTTGGGACAAGAAAAGGCGGTCACTGGTCGCGTTCAGCAGATAGTTGCTAGTCACAGTGCATTTTGAATGTGAGACCATCCGTGCCTGGCCAAGTGGTTGGTAGTACCAGGCTGGTCGCTAGTCACGGTGGTCTTTAGTTACAGGTTTTACTGTAGTACCCGGCTGGTCGCTAGTCACGGTGGTCTTTAGTTACAGGTTTTACTGTAGTACCCGGCTGGTCGCTAGTCACGGTGATCTTTAGTTACAGGTTTTACTGTAGTACCAGGCTGGTCGCTAGTCACGATGGTCTTTAGTTACAGGTTTTACTGTAGTACCAGGCTGGTCGCTAGTCACGGTGGTCTTTAGTTACAGGTTTTACTGTAGTACCAGGCTGGTCGCTAGTCACGGTGGTCTTTAGTTACAGGTTTTACTGTAGTACCAGGCTGGTCGCTAGTCACGGTGGTCTTTAGTTACAGGTTTTACTGTAGTACCAGGCTGGTCGCTAGTCACGGTGGTCTTTAGTTACAGGTTTTACTGTAGTACCAGGCTGGTCGCTAGTCACGGTGGTCTTTAGTTACAGGTTTTACTGTAGTACCAGGCTGGTCGGTAGTCACGGTGGTCTTTAGTTACAGGTTTTACTGTAGTACCAGGCTGGTCGCTAGTCACGGTGGTCTTTAGTTACAGGTTTTACTGTATATGTAATTTTCATCTGCCCTTCACAACGTGTAAAAGACTATCAAAACAGTCCCTGAGAACCCCCCCCCCCCCCCCACCCGAACATGTACAAGTATTATCTACCCCTTGTCTTTTCGGGATGTGTTTTGCTCCAAAATGCAGCGCAGGTTTAGCTGCCAGGGAAGGTTTACTCTCTGCACAGTGCCAACAAAAGAGCTACCACTGTTCTGGTGCTTGTTTGCGCGCGTGTGTGTGTGTGTGTGTGTGTGTGTGTGTGTGTGTGTGTGTGTGTGTGTGTGTGTGTGTGTGTGTGTGCCTCTGTGTGTGTGTGTGTGCGTCTGTGGATGTGTGGGTGTGTGTGCGCACGTGCATGTGTGTTTGCGCGCGTGTGTCTGTCTACATCTGGGTGTGTTTGTGTATCCTTGCTGAAAGATACCCTATCGGAGAGAATCACTGCAGGCGGAAGAATAAAAAATATTTGCATACACCCCATGACTGGACCCACGTCCACGTTTTAATGGAATCCACAAATTCAAACTGAAGGAATATCTGCAGACAATGCAGGCAGGTTAGGAGAGGTTTACTGCTCTATTTGAGCCGTCCACCTCTCCACAGATTATTCTCAAATGGCCGAGTTTGTTGCTGCTTCTGAGTTTGTGCTCCGTTGTCTGAATATTCATTAAATGCCATTGCCAAATCAGGTAGGGGTATATTGTGTCTAATGAGCACCGTATTAAAACTCTGAATTCGAGGGGATTCAGTACACATGTTTCCATTCATTAGAGCATCATTCCACTTTAAAAGTTAGTTTCGTTAGAGCAACCAGGATCATAATAGTTTTGTCGCCCATTTTATTAACAGCTAGAGAGTAAAGATTCGTGTTCAAGTTTGCTCTGTGATTTATGCTTAACGGTATCCTGAATGGATATTGCAAGTTTTCCTGGGAGAGAAGGATTAGCACATGGCTAACATTTCTCGACTTAATGTTAGACTTTTCGTGTTAAAACTTTAAAAAGTTGTACTCCGTTTGAGATTCAAGCCTTACAGTATTCATTGTAACCATGGGGATATGAACTGCTTCAGGCATAGTGGTTGTGAACGATTGTTGTTACTTGTGTACAAAATGGACAGTACCTATAAACAAGGCTGTGAGACAATGATATCAAACCCCAAATTTCAGAAATGGAAATTCAACCATCATATTTTGAGAGGCCAAGCCAGGGCATATAGAAGTGGAAAGGCAAAATCTTGTTCTGAGTAAGCGGGTCCTGCAGAAAAGTGTCGAGCAAGGGAAGAAATGAGTGAGAACTTAATAAAAGTGCCCGTCTAGTTAAACACAGCACCACGGCAATGACACAGGACACGTCATTCGTTGATCATAAACTTTGTATTTTGTGAATTTTTGAAATTCAATTGTCATATTTTGTGAAGCCAAGCAACGGCCTAATGGTGTTGTCACAATGCGAGTGGCCGGATCCTGCAGAAAACTATTGAGTGAGGGAAAGAATGAATGAGACCTTTAAAGAAGGATCCGATCGGTTAAAAACAGCTCAGTTGCAAAGTTACGGGATGCGTCATGCGTTGGTCATCAGCTTTGTGTTCTGTGACATTTTGTGAATTTCAATTGTCATAGTTTGTGAATTTAAAAGAAAGTTGTGAAGCCAAGAAAAGGCACACCGGTGTTGTGAGCAACCGGATCCGGCAGGAAACTATTGAACAAGGGAAACATGAGTGAAAAGTTCATAAAAAATGTCCGTCTTGGTTAAACGCTGCACAATGGCAGCGTTACAGGGTGCGGCATTCGTTGGTCATGAGCCTCATCTTGCCGCAGCGCCTGGCATGGCTGTGGTGGCCATAGGACTCGTGGCGTGGACATTCGCACTTGCAGCGCTTCACTGACCCGGGTACACGCTGGTACGTCGTCTCGGTGCGTGATCCGCTGCTGCACCGTCCGAACATCCTTCCCACAAGATAGTTATAACCTCGGTGTCGCCTAGTAACAAACAGCCCACACAATAAAAAAGAAAAGCAAAACATGAATGTATAGCAAAAAATAGCCAAGGACCGAAAAGTCACCGTATAATCTCTATTACAAGCGCCGTGCTTATATTTTTAAACACACCTCTACCCCGCGCTTACGCTGAAGATCTCGATTATATTGGAGACCGTGATTATGATATTTCAACCGATAACTCCATACCGAGCAAGAAGAAGCTCATGCTAGATATCATGCATGCAACACTGATTTCCACTGAGACCTTGCTAATAATAGAGACTATGCTTATAATGTTTCGAAAGGTGCTCACAGTGTGCTAGTATTAGGGGCTGTGCTAGTAATGGGGACCTGTGCTTGTCACAGAGAATATCCGGTACGCTATAAATAATTATTATAATGTCCACTACACCACCAGCTACTTGACAATCAGCTCAAGCCAAACAAGAACTAGAGTTGGTTTTGAACCCCAGGTTAGATTATAGCAGATATTGGAGCACCATCACAGCATTTACCAGGCAACATTATCATCAAGACTACATTGCATCCCCGTTGCATGTTCACTTGCTGTACGACCAACGATAATGCACAACAGAAGTTCTGATTGGCTGTACTGTGAAAGAGCTAAGTGAACTGGTCCGAGACTCAGCACTTGAAAGTCAGTCATTATGACCGAAGTATTGACTGTGGTTGAGGGGGCTTGATCACACAGAACAACAAGTCACAAGGTTACTAGTTACCGCAAAACCTATCAAGGCGACCACTCGTGTAAGGCGGCCACCTGTCCTAGAAGACCACTGCAGCCAGGAACAAGGGATGCTACTTCTAGTCAAATGGCCCTGGATAAGGAGACCACCTGGTAACAGAGACCACGTTTTGAAGGTCCCTTGAGCGATCGTCTTAGACAGGTTTTACTGTAGCTGCCACTCTGAGGTCATGCCACACATTCATAATTTAGGTAACCTGAAATTGCTGCTGACCACGCCAGTAATTGTCACTTACACAATCTGGTACCCGTGTCCACGCTTTCCACGACGCAGTGGCATGTCTGTGCAGTTGCATTCCTTGGTTTTCTGCATACACACATGCACATAAACACATGCACACGTGATGCACATGCACATGCACACACACACACACACACACACACACACACACACACACACACACACACACACACACACACACACACACACACACACACACACACACACACACACACACACACACACATACACACACATACACACACACACACACACACACACACACACACACACACACGCACACATACACACATTCTAAATTCGAAAATCTGGGTTTTGGAATCTGCATCTCAACAAAATCGTGTTGCCATAGAGTACCATGTCCTGATTTCGTGAAGCCTGGCCACCATGTCCTGATTTTCTAACTCCTCTCCTCCGACTTTCCGGCCTTGGACGACGCAAGGAGGAATGGTACATACATGTATTAAAATGCACAGGATTTGAAGTTGATTTCAACATGTCTAAAATAATGTGTTCAAAGCCCCAGAAAGTTGGGGTGCCAATTCTGGATGAAGGGACTATAAAGTATAAATCTGGTTGCTTCTGTTAGCTCCCGGCTAAACGCAGTCCCCTCACACTTCCAGAACACAGGGGCTATATAGTATTGAATATGGAAGAAGCATTTAGATAAGAGAGTAGACACGACCCGAGACTAGAGAACCACTGGAGCATGCGCTCTTCTATACTTGATGGGATCTCGTTGCTATGGTGAAGGACCGGGAAATACGAATAGTGAGTATTGCACTGTCTTAGTACAGTGCTGGCAACTGAAATCCGACCCCCTGAGCGGTGCGCTCACATCGCAAAGAACGTGAATCCACCGCTCAGGGGGTCGGATTTCAGTTGCCAGCACTGTATAAACACACTTAACCAATGAACGTCAAGCCACACAGCCAGGGTGCTGCGAACAACTTACCATCGGAATAGGGTCACCGGGCAGGTGGCACTTGCCGAGCACCGTGGGTCTCTCGACGTCTGGGCAATCGGGGCGGTTCATCTTGCAGCAGTGTGGCATCTTGCGCATGACGACGAACATGCGGAAGAAGCGACGGACGAGGGTATGTCGATACTTGACAACGCACGCCTCCGACTCGTTACAGCTGGCATTGACACAGGGACCTGTGGGGCGGTAGGGAAGCGGGCACAGCCAACGACAGAGATAAATAGAAATAGGTAGGAAACGGAGATGTGAGAGATAGAGAAAGGGAGAGGTATAGAGAGAAAAGGAGAGTGAAAAGGAGGAGAAGAGAGGTAACTCCGTCACATATACACATGTACATGATCTGGCTTCACAAAAAACAATGCTGTGGAGGCCTGCAATCTTCGGCCGATGAACCGTCTTGGCTTCAGGGGAACCACCCTAGGAACAACTCAAGCAGATGATTATAAACCAGCCTAGTTATCACATGTTGAGCTTCTGAAGTGACTACAAACAAGTGAAATCACAATATGCAACTGGAATACTACCCAAAGGTTGGTGGTTCTGTGCAGCAATGTTCTTCTGATCAGCAAAAACACGCCATGTGCTAAGATGCGAATTTCGGCAACGTGAATGCGCCAACAAGAGATGGGTCGACAACATCAAAGAAAACCTCAAGCCTCTGAATGTGCCGATTCAGGAATGCCTCAACCTCGCCACCAACAAGCAACTCTTGTCGACTATCATTGGCAGATGCATTACTCCCGTATGATTTGTTTATGCGGGCAATATGCGAACTGTTCATATTATTATTAATTTGCCTAGCCAATTCGATTCACGCTTCAGCTCCTTCGAGTACTAGTGCAGCCCCTTACCTTTAGTGGGAGTTTTCATCATCTCGTCATTGAAGCGCAGGGTGCAGTTGTCGGGAAGGTCGTAGCGACAACGCAGCTTGTTATGATGCAGCTGAGCGTTCGAGTAGTACCCATGGCCGTGGTGGTGGCTGCCGAAATGGAGGACAGTGCTAATACGGCGGTTGACCTGGTCACGTACAGACGGACTGCGGCGGCCGCGATGCCCATGGTGCCCGCCATGGCTACCGTAACCATGGCTGCGGGCTCTCTTGGCGCTCAGGTCGGTGCAGCAGACGGCGCGTCCGTTGAACACGCTGCAGACTTCCGTGTCGTTGCACTCCACGCCGTCACAGAGGTCCACTGCCAGGGAGAGTGGGGTCAGCAATCAGCATAGTGAAAGAAGACAAAATCGGCTTTCCACTCAATACAAAAGAATGAAAAGATACACGATGATGTGATTCACTTGTTTTCCACTCGATAAAAAAGTCAAAAAACCATTACGTAAGGATGTCACTCACTGCTTTGCTACTCAATAAAGCATATGCCATGACGTCATCAACTGGTGTCACTAGGGAGGTTTAGTCCCACGTAATCCGTGGGTACTTTACGTGTGTGTACCACGTGATACTCAGTGACCCACGTACAGACGTTTTCTGGTTCACGACATACCGTGCATGGAGGCTCACCCACGTTCCGCCAGAACGTGGGTGAAAATCAGAATGGAGCGCATTGTGCGAGCTGTGAGGGTGCTCAGCTGAAGAAGTTTCCGAAGCACGAAATCAAAATATTGGACGAGCTTTTTAGGCCCGGGTAGCTTCGTCTTTGACCAGGTTTGGGCCTTTCGCTTCATGCTTTTGTTTGTTCCGTGTGACTAAACACAACATTGCAACGTAGGTGCCCTTCATCCACTTTACGTGGATCACCCACGTACGCGTTTCCGTTACGTGGGAACTAAACCTCCCTACTATAGGGGCTGGAGACCACTTACGGGTGGGACAGACGGGGCAGCACTGTTTGGCGAAGATCACTGGTGCCTCGCACTGTCGGATGGCTTCGAAATCGCACATGACACCAGTGCAGTTTTCTGTGAGCATGTGCGTGTACGCACCAGATACACACACCATACGCACGCACACACACACACACACACACACACACACACACACACACACACACACACACACACAAACACACACACATACACACACAAACACACACACACACACACACACAAACACAAACACACACACACAAACACAATTACTATCAGTACTACTACACAAGAGAGATTGGAAGCTTTGTCACAACTCTGAGTTCACGTATTACTACGATCATCAGGCAAATCAGTACTACTATTGGAGAGACAGTGTCATGGTTGCCAAGGTCACCAGTCTCTGAGCCTACCTGGCACTGGTAGTTCCATGTCCGGAGTAATCTCTGCTCCCATAGCTGGGTCCGTGGGCTTGACCTCCTCCGTGGTTGGAGCGAGCGAAGGCTTCTCATCGGGTGCCAGCGTCTCGGCTGGTGCATCCTTGTCCGGTTCTTCTGTACCGAAGATCACATCTGAGCCGCCGAAATCCGGATCTTGGGACCATGCTGAGCCGCTCAGTAGCAGCAGGAAGCACACGGCTGAGAGCTTCATTGTGCCTGCACAAAATTCTTCTCCCCGAGCCGTCCGGCTGGCAACGAACACTTCTTTCAGATAGACGGAGCACTTGCGCACTAGCTCCGGGTACTGATCTGTACTGATCTGATACAGAGCTAGACGGAGAAGCAACTGCAAAATTTGATTGGCAATCGCCGAATTATATAGGTACACGGATGCATAGTGTTGTAAACAGCATGGACAGGCGCATGTATTCGAAATCAGCCTGACAAGCAGGACTTCTTGCAGCCGTCACGCTCTGCCTGCCACAGATAGATTGACACCCGGCTTGTCGAGCGACAGGCTAGCACTGTACATGTAGTCGTGCAGCTGGTGAGCGTTGATGAGCGAGCTGGTGTCGTCGACACGACGACAGGGTGGACACGGTCATCGCCGACTCATCGGTCAGTGCACAGTGCAAGAGAGTGCCCGTGATGTAGCATGCAGTATACCAGACCAGGGACAGCGTGTCATGCAGTTGATTCATTGACTGTCACTAGCAAGCTGCGGATTGAAGATGGCAACAAAGAAGGATTACTATCTTCATGGACGTGGGTGGGAGCGCCTTGAAAACAGGGTCACGAAGTGGCACGAGTTGGTACAGACTCAGTCACAGAAAGGACTCATCTTGGGTTGCACCACGGACGTAGCAGAAATGTACACCTCATTTCTGGCCTCCCTTTTCAGGCAGCGAAGTCGAAGACCGGCCTGTCGACTCCTGAACATTACTTCAAGTAAGGGTTAGTTCGAGCCTGGCTTTTACCTAAATTGTGCGGACGTCCGGACAGAGGTCAGCACACTCAGCACTTTGTGCATGTGTCCACCGTCGGTGTTGTTTATTTCACGTAAAGTTGTGAGATGCTGTCAGGTATCACTACCGTACATCTGGAGCTGTGTCAGTTGTCGCCTCATTAGTTACTGCTAGTGTCACGGTTCTCGCCCGGACAGGCCTAGGCTAGGTCTGGGGATTTGTCAAGGACAGCATCAACGACTGGGCCTGCACCAAACATGCCTGCGGAAGTGACTAATACGTTACTCGAGCGGCTATGTGCCATCAGCGGCTGAATGGTCTTGTACACTTTCATGTTCCTGGACGAATCACTATCAGGTTCAGTAGCTGCCCCTAGCTAGATCAATGAAACTACAAAGCAAAGCAGAATGCACACAAATAGATGTATTCCATTTTTAAAACGTCGAAGTAACCTTATGAAAGAGACAGAGAGACAAAGAGACAGAGAGAGAAGCAGACACAGAGAGACACACAGAGAGAAAGAGAGGGTTACGATTGCCACTCGCTACTGCTCGTGCCACGCCTGAGCCCTTGACGCTGTACAGTTGTTGGCCAGACTTGAGTACATGTACAGTGCTGGCAACTGAAATCCGACCCCCTCACATCGCAAAGATTTCAGTTGCCAGGACTGTAGGTATCACACTATGTCTGTGTAATACAAATACAATGCTTGCATGATCCATGTAGGCACTGTATTACTGTAAAAGCCGTGGATAAGCGGTAGATCTAGATCTACACACATGCACTTTTGCGCTGCAGCGCGCTGGTCGCATCGGATCCAATCAACGTGTGCACTCACGCAGCGTTCTGAACGCCCTGAGGGCGCCGGCCCCGGTCAATCGACTGGATTTCCATGTCCGCTACAGTAGAGTAGAGGGACGCGACTGGATTTCATTGAGCAGCACTGTAGTGTACTACGACTAGTACCAGCTGGGCAGAACCTTACTTTTGTGGCTGTTGTTTCAATCTGCGGACAGAACAGTTTCGTCCTTTGTGGACTCATCAGCGCAGCACCGAGAAAATGAGGCCGAACCTGATAGCTATGAAAAATAAAATGTCCAAAGCCAGATTTAAACCAGGCCCGAATTATGTACCTTGCAAGAGTGCTCAAACTGACATGTCAGTGAGCTCTGCATAACGCAAACAGCAGAGGCACGGTTGTTGTTTCCAATTAGATGGTAAGCAGCATCATTCGACTTTGTGCGGATTTTTCAATCTTCCACAGCACCATAACTGCTGGAGAGCGCAGTAATGACTATGTTGTGGTGGAGGATGGAAAGTTGTCGTTTCCTTTACTTTATTTCGCAGAATCCAATGGGCAGCAGGCCACACTACCATGACTACATTGTACGTGAGGGCGAATGAGTTTCTTTGCGGTAGAGTCCAGCGGATTCTGCCGGCAGAAAAATGGCAGAATTCGGTACTTTTTCTGGTAAGTATCATGCATGTTTGGTATGTGGATAAAGAAATGGAGCAGAACTCGAGGATTTACCCGCCATAAGGTTTGTATACATGTAGTTCTGCCAATTTTACTGCTTTTCGAGCAGAATCTGCCACCTTTTCGAGCAGAATCCACCGGTCCCTTCTTTGCGGGCATATAAACATCATGGAAGCAGGGTTATAACTTATAAGACTATTCATGAACAATCTAGCGGTACGCATTATGATCACAAGGCCCAAAGACAGGTTCACATTATTGATTGTAGGATAGTGGAAGATGGCCTGGATTTCTGATGAGACGCAACCCAGCAGAGCAGATGCCTCCATCTGCGCATAGGCAGGGTTGACATGTCAACATCCACGAACGGTGCAACGGAGAACAGAAGACCCTGTTTGTAGATCGCGTTCACACAGACGCAAAGCGGGGATCTTTGCCAGGCGGGCGATCACTATGATGTGCTCCAATGAATCGAAACACTGCGATTATGCTGAAGCACTTCCTGCGACGCTCTGAAAGACTGAAACCGTACCGTCATCGTGATCGTACACTTGGAGCGAGTTGTGCTAGCCACATCATACATCTGCAATACTGCTGCGCCAGGGGAAATCCGACTGCGGTGCAAAGCTCCCGCATAATGCACCAGTCCGAATACACGGTCATAACTGTATCTTTGCATGTACATGTAGGTAGTAAAAATAATGAAGAAAAAATGAAAAATAGGGATTCACTGGCCAGATATATAAAGCCACTTCAATCAGCTGTGTGGTGGATACCAGGCTAACATTAGTGGCGGTCAATTCATCAGCCTTGCAAGCTGTTGAATGGTGTAATCCCGGCACTAGTTTCTACATGTACCGGTATGTCTAACATACATGTACATAATATTTTAGCTGTTCGCTATCATTGCTTCTGCGCTGGGCAGGTCTGAGGTCTGAGGTACTCAAGGCCTCGTTAGCACAGCTCAGTATTACTGGTCGAACCGATCGCACTGAAGCCGAATAAACAACAAAGGCAGAGTGCTGGTCCCTATGCTGACACTAAGTCGCTAATCAAACAATCATAGCAATCGCGTGCATCTTGATACGGGCTGAATTACATGTATTCGTCAGTAGCAAGGGATTCCATCATAGTTATCACGAAAGACAAAATGCAGGTCAGGATTCAAAGGTGTGTCTGATGTTGCCTATCACCTCCAGTGCGAGGCCGAAGCAATTCAGCGGCTGGACGCTTTGGGCTACCGCAGTACAACAGCTGTGTGAATGAATAGTCTGTTTCGTACACGGAAACCAATGGGAGACTATTCTGTACGTCTGGTGCTAATCTTATCTCCTCAGGCTGCTCCAAGATCAGTCAAAACGGGTTTATTCAAACAAATAATTATTAAACAATACGACATGGAAAGAAGGAAGAACACCAAAAGATACAAGGGATGAAACTCGAAGATGAAATGAAAATTTGAAAAAGTCTAATCCAAAGAAACTCAAGGCAGATGTAACAAGGTTGTGTAAAAGATTCAACTCAATCCCTATACGAATGCTTTGAAAAATGTAAAGTGTGCATGAATGATTCGCGCTGATCAAGATCAGTCACTCGGGTGCTTGCCGCCGTCGGATAAGATGCCTTTGACTTCCATATAGGGAAATCTACATGACATTGTATAAAGTGTTCAATGACAATGGCTACTTCTGTGAGTTATAGAGTATAGTCACACGCAGGCGCGGATGACAAACTAGCATCTTGTCCGGTGACGAGCCTCTTCCTCGGGTGTGCTCTTTTACGGGCAAAGTAAACTGGTGGTTATGTGCTAAACGGTGGCTGCGATTTCGGCGAGGCTTTGTAAGAAAGGGTTCGCTCCCCACACTGGAGCTCGCGCTATTCCGCCGACTTGACTTGATACTTGACTGACTCTCGACTGCCATCCAGAGCACACGAGGAGTCCATCGAACCTTTGACTCGGCAAACCTGCAAGAAAGCACCACTCCCTGCTCAATACACAGTGTTTCGGGGAATTCACCCCTCATCAGGTGAGCTTGAGTAGGCTGAGGAAGAGTGTGCCTGAAGAGCACCACTTATACCATGTATACTGCTCCTCAAGGAAGTCTCTACGATAATGTTTGCAATTTCACTGCTTTTTCGAGCCGAATCTGTAATTTTGTAGACTCTTATCCGCCCAGGGCTACTACGGTCCCATGCAATGACTACTAGTACATCATGTACGGGGACTTGACTACATCATGATTGTATTGTGTGACCTAACCAGGAATAATCCTCGCCACTCCACTGAATAACATGATGGAGTATTGCGAGGAAGACCTCTCTTGGTCCTTACGTTTTTTGTTTTGTTAAGCCAGGCAAATCCCCTCCAATAATAATTACTGGCTTTTGCCAATGGAAAAAGTAAACACCCTGTTCTACGGATCCGTTTACAGGGCGGGTACAGGGCGGGTACAGGGCGGGTACAGGGCGGGTCAAGAACCATCTTTTCCACTTCCATGGGACGCCACCACCCCATGATCAGGCGTGGGATGCAGCTCCTACACGGCGGGAGGGGGTAGATCAGATCGACCAGCGAGAGACCAAAGCCCAATCCCACTTGCTGAATGCCGTTGAAAAGTGAATAAAATCGATAAAGGGCAATTGACCATCTTACGGCAGAATTCCCAGCAGTTTATTTGTTTTGTAAAAATGCGAGCTGTGATGCGGTCTAGTCTGTCTGCGTGAAACATCACCAGCCCCTTACTTCTCAAATCGTCCATTCCTCTCTCCCTTGGGAATGACTTGTGTACTGCGTTCGACCGAACATCACCTTTCTATCACCAGCCATGTAGTCTGCTCGTAGATCTACTAGTAGCATAATGCTCTCTACCTTGCCTGTTGCAACTGGTCTGCTGTCACTGTGTCAGACAGATGAGAAACAACTCTGATCTGTGACAGGGTCCACACATTCCGCAGCAGCGAATGCTCACGGAGCCGCTCCGAAAAAGCGCCGAGAGACTGCAACACGAGACAGCAAGACCCTATGTGGGTCGAGTCATGCACCCGCTTCTGCCACTGCTCCGCTCAGATGAACTGGGCGCGATTGAACCCGTCGTGACAGCACCGAAGGGCATGAACTTTACGTGGAATAGTCTCGGAGGTGCACTTGACATGTAGAGCGAATCGAGAGTCACAGGAGCGAATCCTGTCGCCTACGGGCAGAAAACCTCAGATCGGCTTGACTCCGAGTCCAAGACACAGGGCTGCGCGAGCTCTAAGTAGTTATTCCCACTGCGTTGACCCAAACTGACTGAGAGTGACACGCGTCAACCAACAAAGGTATCGCGTGATAGATCAACATCATTATAATTATCTACGAGACGTGCAGAATGAAATCCAATCAAGCGAGACAGCTTTGCGCCCTGCACCAGTGAAGATCCCAGTGCAGTGTTCGCTGATCTATTGCTGCACAGCACCTGCGGTGTATTTGCCTCGCGTTATTGGATTTCATTGGGTAGTACCGTAGAAGACAACAAGCTGACTGATTGGGCAAAGGAGGCTATCCAGCAACGCAAAGCACTCTCACAGTCAAATCCAGCGGGTGCCGACTATAAAAGAAACCCCTTGCTGGGGAATCAGCGCTCGAGATCAGTTTCAGGAGTTCTGATGTGCTCCAGGCCCTGTCGATGCCCGTCTGAATAATACTTTCCCAGGTCACGCGAAAGACGTGTACGTGAGGATACTAGCAGACATCGTCGCAGTACGGGTCTTTTCTGGCAAGACACGGCGCTAGGGTTGCAGGCTGTTCCTGAAGCGCTTGATACTGTTGTTGCTAACAGCGCGTGTACCTGCATCTTGGAGCGGGGAAGAGCAGACAGTACACCACACTCGACATTTCGGCTGAAAACAGACCCGTATTTGCAGCGTCACTTCACGGTCTGAACCCCAGAGCTTCACGAATCACAGGCGACAGGATATTCCAGGCATTGTTGAAGCAACGATGATGTTCGCGAGTGGCCTGTCAACCTGGGCTTCCTTTGCCATTGTGGTGTGTGTTATCCATCACCCGTGGGTTCATGCACAGCCGCTGTTTGGTGGCTCCGAGATCATTTTTGGCGACGTCTTGCAAGGATCGGGGACAGATCCTCCGTCCGCACAGCCCCACCACACGCAGTCCTGGGAAGAGGACGTGGACACGCGACGCTCTCCGTCCGATCTTGATCCACATACCGTAAAACCGGTGGCGATGACCGGCCCTGACGTGGAAGCGGTGGACACTCGACAGCCGTCACCGCGCGACTCGACCGACGAAAGCATGGTCACGGAAGCGGCGGACACGAGGCTGCCACCACGACGACGGCCCAGCGATGTCACGCGAGCACCTTCCCAGGAGGAAGCGGTGGACACCGTTGGGCATCCTGCACCGGGAGACGCAGGTCTGCCCACAGAAGAAACACCCTTGATCATTGCGGGGCTGCCAAAAGCAGGTGAGAGTTTGATACATTTCGAGCAGAATTGACCAATGTTTTGAGCATAATCCACCCAGGATACATTTCGAGCAGAATTGACCAGTGTTTTGAACAGAATTGACCAGTGTTTTGAGCATAATCCACCAAGGTCTAGAATACTGAGCAGCAATGACTATGTGATTTTTGGTTCCAACTCCTGCCAATTCCTGCATGAATGGTTCCCACAATGTCAGCCATTAGAATTTTTCCGCTGTCCTGTTTCTAAAGTTGGTTGGTCCAACGAGGAACACACGCTTCTTGCCGAACTTGACGCTAATACCGCCTCCAACTTCATGACTAATACCGCCGAAGTCGCAACTTCTAAGTTCGTTTTCCTGTTTCTGTTCTTGTTCTTGTGGTGAGCAGAGGATTGTGAAACGGTTACGTGCAACCTCAGCGTCGTGCAGGGCTGCAGCGACAGACCAGTGCTCTATGCTAAGCAATGCTGCCCGGTGTGCCTTGATGGTAAGGAGAAAGTGAAAACCGTTGAAACTGAAAATTTTCATTCACGGAGACAGACTCCAAATTTAGTGGTTTCACATGCATCTATCACACTATCATAATATGTGACAGCCATGTTGTTTCTGACTCCACTCAACCGCTGCATCTGTGGGTCACGTGATGTCAGCCATGCTGGTCGCACTGTCAACATGCCATGATCTGTTTCTACATAAATTCCCTCAAATGACCAAAAGTGTAAAACCACTCAATAGAGCAGGTGAACAAAGGTGTGCCTTGCCATAACCAGGGATTATATTGGTAGTAGGACTTGGGCATTCAGGGATTCCTTCGCAGACAACTCCGTGTAATTCCACCCTCTACTCTTTAGTACTGGGTATTTCTAGACCTTGGCTCCTGGGTATTGAAATTGGCTCTCGGGAAGCAAAGATGAGACTCCTAGAACTAGGAAACATACGGTATTAGGCCTTGGGCAATTAAAAACTCCACTGCAGCCATCTCTGTACCCCTGCAGCCATCTCCGTACAATCCTTGACCTTCCCTCTCCTTCCTTAACCCCTTATTTAACTTCATTCTCACATTCGCTTCCATCCAATTGGCCTTGTAGCCTGTGTGTACTTGTGAATTCGAATAAATACACATACACACATACATGCATCCTGATCTCAAATACACTGTGTCCCTGTGTCCCTGTGCAGCGCAAGAGACGAGCAAGTGCTCGCCAGGCCTCTGCCGTCCCATGGAGCACTGCTCCGTCCACCAGGGGCAGCCCGTGTGCTGCACCAGGCTGGGTACGGACCACCGGCAGCACGAGCAGCGCCGCCATCACATTCACCATCGCCATCACATCGGAAGTCAGACCGAACACATCCATGACCTAGTGCATCTGCTGAAACGCTATCGACTACCTGGGAACTGTGCTCTGTCATATCTACCGGAAATACGGCGGAGGACAGGTCTGTGCAAGTTCTTGTATTCTAACAATCATCATCATTATTGTTATAACACTGGTACTAACCCTGAAGATGCTTGCTCTCCTTGGCAAAAATTGGAAAGTACTTGAAGTTGTTGGAGAGATTCCTTTTTCCATTTTGTGTAGCCAAGAACTTGGTGCGGCTATGTTCGGTAGAAGTTCAAGTCATGACAAGGCTACAGAGGAGCTATGACATTCCTATTAAACTGGCACTGTTGATCAATTAGTGTGATTGTCAGTAAACTCCAACTTACAAAATGTGTATGAAACTTTTAAAAATGATGACAGGCCAGGCCTGAAATTTTGGTATGATGGAGAATTATTTGAATCGCAGTAAAGCGACCGTTATTGCAGTTGAGGAGTGAAGTTTCATAAACTTGACTTCTTTACCCACTGACGATGTTGTTCAGAAAAACAAAACGTCTGGAAAAGTATTGTAAATATTTCTATCTTTATAGTAAAGAAAAAAGGACCAAGAAACTACAAGTTACGCTATAATGTCCACTAACACCACCAGTTACTAAACAATCAGCTCATGCGATAACCTTGCACGACACAGACCGATGGTACTGGCGTTCTACAACTAACTGGCTAACAGCTCTAGCACATCTTGGATACGCACTCCAAGTTGGAAGGCTGTTGGTGTGCGAATCCTAGATGTGCTAGAGCTGTTAGCCAGTTAGTTGTAGAACGTCAGTACCATCGGTCAGTGTCGTGCAATGTTATCGCATGAGCTGATTGTTTAGTAACTGGCGGTGATAGTGGACATTGTAGCGTAACTTGTAGTTTCTTGGTCCTTTTTTTTAACTATAAATTTACCCTTGGCTCTCCATCCGAGTCCATTTCTATCTTTGTTAGTCATATATACCACTGTTGGTCTAAAAAGAAAAAAACTTTTATGGTTTCATAAACTTGAAACTCGGATGTGGAGCCATAAATAAATGTAGAAGAGAAAAGGACATATGGATACGAGTTAAGAGTAACTCTCCATCACTGTAACATGATACTATATACAGTCAGAAAGTGCATTAACTTTTTGAGCCTTCCGAGTTGGAAGGCTGTCGGTTAGCGCTACGGACATGTGTTGAAGCTAGGTGTCAGGACGTCGAATGTCTCAGTATTCTGTCAGTTTTGTGCCTAGTTATTGCACTTTCTGACTGTATATAGTATCATGTTACAGTGATGGAGAGTTACTCTTAACTCGTATCCATTCTTCTACGTTTCATAAACTGTTGATCAAATTGAAGCGAAAGTACAGCATTTGAAAATTGCATGGAACAACAAAGGCAATCAAGGCTTGTTAGTCGCTGAAAAAAATGAACTATGATGTGTGACACTGTCGTCCTATTTTTTCTGCTGTAGGCTTGTGTGGGGAATGCAGAGCACAAGAAGTGTGCGAGAAGCGCACAGCACGGCTCCTGGCTGGAAACGGTAACACTATTACGGTTGAGAGAACGTACTGCTGTCAACGACGCTGCCCGGCTATTCGCCAGCCGCTTCTTCTTGGTCAATGTCATCTGCCGGGGCAGCCTGTACCCGCCAAGGTAGGTCTGGAATTCTTCAAAGGTTAAAGTGGTTTGTGTGTGTGTAGGTGTGTGCGTGCGTGCGTGCGTGTGTGTGTGTGTGTGTGTGTGTGTGTGTGTGTGTGTGTGCGTGTGTGTGTGTGTGTGTGTATGTGCGTATGTGCGTGCGTGCGTGTGTGTGTGTGTGTGTGTGTGTGTGTCTTCGTCTTCGAAGACTCAGTTTGTAGTTGTTGGCCCCGACATCACGCCTACTGACCGCGCTCCCCTCCAACTTGGTCAAGCGGAGGTGGAATGCGTACCTTGGTTCTGTAGTGGACAGCGGTTGCCGTTCGTCCCGGGACATCGCCGCAAGGATTGCCCAAGCCTCCAGGGCCTGCGGTGCTCTTCGGAGGTCTGTATTCTCCAATCCACATCTGCTGATGCACACCAAGCGGTGCGTATTCAATGCTTGCGTTCTGTCCCTGCTGTTGTATGGCTCTGAGTGCTGGACGCCCCTTCAACATGACCTCCAGAAGCTCTCAACCTTCAGCATGAGGTGCATCCGATCCATCCTCGGGGTCTCTCGAAGCCGGATGTGGGACGAACACATCACCAACGAAGAGCTGCTGGTGCGCTGGGGAGACTCCGAGACGATTAAAGACAAGATTGCACATCAGCGTTTGGAGTGGTTGGGGCATGTGGCGCGGATGCCGGACAACCGCATCCCAAAACAGGTACTGTTTGGCTCCTTCTTGCAGCGTCGCCCAGCACATGGCCCACGCCGCAGATGGAAGGACAGTGCTGTCCGGGATCTACGTGCCCGTGGCGTGGAGGCATCATGGTATGATGTTGCATGTGAGTCCCGCGCGGAGTGGCGCAGCACCTACCAAGAGCCTGACAATGCGCCTGAGCCTCCGCCCCGAGTGGTATGTACGGTATGCAGACGGGATTTTGCACGGCAAGGAGACATGGCTCGGCATAAGTGTCTGGAGGAGCGTGCGCGGCCTGTGTCTGAGCAGCGGGGCGCCAGTCAGTGCGGGCGGTGTCGGCGGTGGCTGAGAAGCCACGGTGGCTTGGTCCGGCATGTGTGTGCCTCAACGGTGGATGCCACAGTGCCACCTGGAGCTACCGGAACGTCGGCACCGGCGGAGGGATGTTGTGCCGCGCATTGTGACAGGTGTGGCCGCTGCTTTCGCGGTGTCCGGGGACGGGGCAGGCATCGCTGTTCAAGGGTGGCGCATAGACCAAGAGCAGAGGAGCGCTCAGCCTTCCAGCACGTGTGCATATGCGGCAAGCGGACCTGGAGCGTCATCGAGCGTTGTGTCCTCTCTCTCTCTCTCTTCTCAAGTTTCCCAGTGATGGGATCACGTGACCCTTTTGCGGCAGTGACTCTACAGGACAGGACAGGTGTGTGTGTGTGTGTGTGTGTGTGTGTGTGTGTATGCAGAATCACATGTGTGTGTGTTGGTGTGTTGGTGTGTGTGTGTGTGTGTGTGTGTGTGTGTGTGTGTTTGTGCATGTGTGCGCATGTGTGCATATGTATGACGTAGTTAATAACTGCCAATGTATCCATAACAGTGGCGGATCCAGGGGGGGGGGGGGGGGTTCCGGGGGTTCCATGGAACCCCCTAAATTTTGCAAAGTGTGGTGCTGAGAAATATCGAAAAATATCATGTGTGCACAAAAAGACGTCCGTCCGATCACAGGCAGTGCAGTGCACTGAGTCAAGGAGTACAGACTCAGTGCACTGCATGCGCGTTCCGACGGTTCGGTAGATCGATATACATGTATAACGGTAGTAGTCTGTACTGGTGTTCACGTCCGTGATTTACAAACGGACACTGACAGTCTGTAGACAACATTGGGTGGTTGTTTCCACTTTCCTTTGTCATCTTTCGAAACCATCCAAACTTACCTCCATTGGCGCTGTCATTCACTGCTGCTCAGGATGGGTGCGGTCAGTATTCCTTGGACAAGTCTTTTGCAGAAGAGAAAGGATGTTCCGAGTGATGACACTCTTCAACGAACTTCGAATCATACACGTAGAGTTCAAGCTCCTCTGAAGATGAGGGCTCCGACATCCAAGCAAAGTCAGTAATCTATGCCTGCTGCAGCATGCAGTAGTGACTAATTGTTCCTCCGCAGGAACGGAGTGCTGCGCCAGCGATGTGTTTTAGATGACATTGGAAGGATTGTGCAATTGTCGACACTGTTTTGCTGTTGTTGTTTCTGTCACTGAAGTGAAGTGCCCTGTGACTATAGAGCGTTTCGCATCGTAAAAATGCCAAAATTTTCCGAAAGTACAAATGGACAGGGAAAGTAACTTAGTTGTCATTTCGGCATTCCTGGCTCTCAACGTACCCATGACTTGCATATTCGATATTTACAAGAAGTTAGTTGAAAGGGTCTTCAAGCCCTCACTGAACCTGTGTGCCCGGCAGTCGATTGCATAAATTTATGTACTCAAGTATAATTATGATTATGTGTCTGTACTAAATAATAATTATACAATGTAGGGTAAGCAGCAGCATTTGGCCCTGTACAGGCTTTCCATCGTCCACCACACCACAACTGCGCGCTCCAGCGGTGGTGGTGTGCTGTGGCAACGTTACGTGTCGAGGCCGGCTGGAGGGCGCAGTTATGGTGTGGTCGATGATGGAAAAATATATGTCCGTAGTGTGTTTTAAAAGCATGCGATTGCCACTAACACAATCGGATTGTCGTAACTACATGTGTCAACCACACAACTTCAAAACAATCTGATTCCATAATATTTTGGCTTTTCAATTTTGGTTCAACCGGAACCCCCCTGTAGAGATCTCTGGATCCGCCCCTGCATAAGCCGATAAGAAACCGGCTAGAAATGGGTTTAGAACCAGCATGTCTGTACATCATCGATGTTTACCCAGTTGGAATCTGCTGAAGTTGATGCGAAATATTCACAGTGCCATTGTTTTTCTTTTGGGGGAATAGTGTGGCTTCACATCTTTGTCAATTTTCAAGGGAGGGCTCAAATTGAATGGGTATGGTATATTATACTTCGAAGCACAGTTCGGTCGGGCGCCCAAGAACAGAGCGCCCAAAAACGACCAAACTAGAATTTCACCAAGCACATCATACCAACGTACACATGGTGACTCAACTGTGCATCGACCGTACAATGTACAGATGCTCTCGGTGAAATCCGACCCGGAGTACCATTTTGGCGCCCTCAATTTGCACAGCCATTGGCACCCTGGAAGTGGCACGAATGCGGCTGGACGTATTTATGTATGTATGTATGTATAACTCATAATCACGAGGTGATCGTAGAGGCATTAATCAGCGAGAGAATTGTGAATGATGTCTCTGAATCCAACTCTATCGTGTGCTGCACGAGAGAGAGAGCATGCAAGGGAAGACCCGTCCAACTTTTAATGTTAGAAATCCATGATGTCGCGGGCCTTCCTCTCGGTCGAGATCCAGGAGTTGATCCTTGCAGGAAGGGCTTGGAGAAAACGTCATGTCTCGTAACATGGCCAAACCACATCAACTTAAATTTCTTGACTTCGTTCGCATCCTTGCTCCGATGATGTCATTGATTTCTTCCAGGATAGATTGGTTGGTACGCCGGTCGTGGTATGTTACTCCTAAGAGTCGGCGGAAGCATTTCATCTCGAAGGATGAAATTCTTCTCATTGATGAGGCAGATAATGTCCAAGATTGGCATCCGTATAAAACAGTCGCTAGCACAATAGACCTAACAAAACGAAATTTAGTAGGCAAAGAAAGTGATGGCGATTTCCAAATGAATTGAAGCTCAATGATCTTTTGCTTCCCTAGTGCTAAGCGTCTTCTTATCTCCACATCGGACTTGCCATCCGACGTGATTACGGCACCTAAGTATTTAAACTGGGATACCTCTTCTATTCGCTCATTGCCTACTTGAATGCACCCCAGATCACCACCGCCCTCCGGCGCTGCCATTGACTTGGTCTTGGAAGCATTGATCTGCATGCCTAGTCTTGTTGCACTCGTATCCACACGCTCGGTCAGGTCCATCAGCACTTCCACAGACGATGCGATTAGATCTATATCATCCGCAAAACGTAGGTTGGTCACGCACATGCCGCCGATACATACTGACCCAGCAAACTCCTCCAAAGCGTCAGACATGATGTACTCCAGGAATACGTTGAACAGACAAGGCGAGAGTAAACAGCCCTGCCTGACACCCATTGAAGTGGTGAACCAGTCGGTGATAGTGGATCCAACAACGATGGCAGCTTCAGTAGTAGCGTAAAGCGCTTCAATCAGGTCCACAATTCTTGCTTCGATGCCATGCGCTCTCATAATCTTGAATAGGGCTTTGTGCCAAACCCTATCAAAGGCCTTACGGAAATCGGCTGGCCGGCGGCTGGACGTACACATGGACAAATACAATGATGTAATCGGAACTGGTCCAGGGCGTCAGCTTTGCACTTCGGGTCGGATTTCACCGACCACACCTGTAGTATAGGAACACTAGAACGGTCCGGACTAGGAGACTGAGCCGCCAGACTAGGAGACTGAGCCGCCAGACTAGGAGACTGACACTCAAGTTCTTCAGCGACGACCAGTACTATATAATTATGAATCCGCTGCTTTTGTGGATTTACTCCTGCACTGACTGTGTGGCTGCGTACATGAGCAGTTCTCTGCTTTTTTTTTCTTCTCTTTTCTACCTGCAGACTCACTGCTCCTGTACGCTATACGGGCATATCCGTGAAGCTCTGGACGCTCGCAGACAGTGAGTTCTCAGTGATGTGCTGGCTGTGTGAGTGTGTATGCGTGTGTATGCGTGTGTGTGTGTATGCGTGTGTGTGTGTGTGTGTGTGTGTGTGTGTGTGTGTGTGTGTGTGTGTGTGGGTGGGTGGGTGTGCATGTGCGTGTGTGTGTGTGTGTGCGTGTGTGTGTGTGTGTGTGTGTGTGTGTGCGTGGGTGGGTGTGTGTGTGTGTGTGTGTGTGTATGTAGTGAACGATTCTCCCGCCCGCAGGACCTCACCCGCCACCGAAGACAGAAACACTAGCTGTGTGTAGAACGGTCCCCTTTCACCTCAATTACTCTCCTTGTTTCTTTTCCTTTCTCGCTGTTGTCTCGCTTCTGGGAGCGACGTGGCCATTTTATGGCAGTTGTACATAGTAGTGGTAGTAGTGTGTGTATGTACCTGTGTGTTACCCATATGGTGCAGTGGTATGTGCAGCGATTTACCGGAGTACAACCTACACTTTGAACACTCCAAATTCACCCAAAAGAATGGGCTACGGCTTATGCTCCGATGATCAAATTAACGATGGTTCAAGTAATAGGACAGATGTCTGTATTTCATGGCAAAAATGGGGGTGCGGCTGATACTCCGGAAAATACGAGAGTTCAGATGCACCAACCAGAAGCCAAAGGCAGTAATCCCATTTGCCACATCCATGTTACCATCAGACAGATGTTAGGTGAGTGAAACATATGCCACGGATGATGCTTTGCAGGCTGGAATTTGCCCAGTTGCTCGCCTTCTGCATAGACACATGCTGCACCTGAGACACAATGTACACCCTTAGAAAAAAGCGTTATGTTGTAACGGTATTACCGTTTGGGGAAAAATACAGATGATTTGGGTTTGACCTTTAGCAAGATGAACGCTAATTTTCGTTCGCTGTTGCCAAGAGAAGAGCTTTTATTTCCCCGCGGTACAACCACTTACGGCGCCATATACGCGATACGAGGTGAAAAGGGTACGCACTACGCAGTATTTGTCCAAAAAACGTACTATTTGTAACAACGATAAATCAGCCCCCATAACGTGTTTATGCTGCAGCTACAACGCTATATGGGTGATCAAGGTACGAGTACAGAAAAACATAGTGTTACCGTTGTTTGCTAAGGGTGTCTAATGTCTTTCTCTTGCGCCTTCTTGTCTGCTGTCCGCTACCTACGCAGAGGCTATCGGCATGGTGATAAGACGTATACGACGCTGCGCTATGTGCTTGCCAGCAGAGACCATAGTGGTGGTGATAGTGACACCCATCGTCACGGCAACTCCCGGCGTCAGCTTTTGCGACTGGAGCTGTGCTTCTGCCGGCGAAATCACCAGCACAGTCAGCACGTAGACGACCAGTTGACCCCGGTTGGCACTTCGGATCGGAGCGGCGCAGAACTGCACAGCGGATCGTGTCGATATGTTCGCACGGCTTTCAACGGGCGGGGCTGATGCTCTGTGCCATCGTGAAAGATATGTGACGAAAGAAGTGATCGGCTGTACAGTAGCCACATACAGTAACCTTGGTTACCTGGGTATCTTTCAGGAGAGTCTCTCTTTCTCACCACACTCGTATCCACACGCACACACATACACACACATGCACACACATACACACACACAGACACACACACACAGACACACACACAAACACACACACACATTATGACACACACAGACACACACTCACCTGCATGAACAAAATAATTATATTGGGTGGGACAAAGCCACACTGCCCCCCTCCCTCTCCATATTTTCAGTTTGTCTCCCCACATTTCCAGCAAGACCTTGACAAATTGTGCAAAGAAATGTTGTGACATTGCACTGTGAGTCAGTGATAGCCAAAGTGGCATAAAATCATTTTTTTGTTACTATAATATAACTGTGTGAAGCGTGTGCTGAATTTTTAATAAAATAACTTTAAAGATTTTTTCAAACATTAGTGAGCCGGTCTCTGTTGGATTCAGTACAAAGATGCTTCGCCTTGCCTCCAACTTGACACTGCAGTAATCCGCAGACCACTCTGAAGTAATGAAGCCTATATTTTATAATTCTGTATCAAGATGGCGGCAAGGATGTGCTCATCATGCCTGTGACAAGTACAAATACATTACATATTCATGAGCAGTGAAATCGGTCTAAGACGACCGCTCACGTGACCATCAAAACGTGGTCTCTGTTACCAGGTGGTCTCCTTATCCAGGGTCATTTGAAGTAGCATCCCTCGGTCCTGGTTGCAGTGGTACTCTGGGGCAGGTGGTTGCCTTTTCCGAGTGGTCGCCACGACAGGTTTTATTCGCCTTGATAATGGATCATGCCAGAAAATTTGCCGGTGAAATATAACATGGATTTGATTTTTTTACGGGGAAAAACTTACACAATGGATCAAAATGCAGCACTGGAAAAGAAAACAGGAAAATGCATGGGTAAAATAAAGATTTTCGAATGCAAACCAAAAAAACTTCAAATCAAAACTTTATACCCAAGTAGAAATAAAATAAATTCACACAGTAGAGACTGTTAGTGGAGTTGAGCAGTGAAATTTTATACCTGTGTAAATGGTGGATTTGGATTTTAAGCATACAATGTCATGTACCGTGAAAAGTACGATGTACTGCATTGTAGAGCTCTCTCCAATTGCCCAACGAGTAGACGACGAGAACAAGTTGAATGCTCATTGGTTCTCTGAGGTCTATGACTCAGGGGTTCAACAACAACAACAACAACTGGCAAAGCCATGTGAATCCGCATACCAACATTGGAGGGGGGGGGGGGGGGGGGGGGAGCGTGCATAATTATTATGCACGCGTTGCCACCATCCCCCACCCCCATACGCATGTGCACAGTCATCACACAATCTCACTACTACATTAGTACCTCCGGTCAACAACTTCAAGTCAAGCACAAGCAACTGTTGTACATGAATGCCGGCAGGGAAATGCTAGAAACATGGCGGCGGCAGTACCCCACCCAGCACACTACTTACTCACACAGGTTGCACCAGTTAAACACCAATAACAATTAACACCAGTCACACAGCACTAACAGAAGTAACAGCAGTCACACCAGTACCACAGGTCACACCAACAACAGCAGTCACACCGCGCATAGCTCTGAAGAATTGCGTTGAGAACGCGCACAGCAGTAACGCCAGTAACGGCAGTCCCATCCATCACATCCGTCACATGATCACATCCGTCACATGATCACATCAGTCATTATGATCACATCAGTCACGTGATCAGAGCAGTCACATGATCACATCAGTCACATGGATCACAGCAGTCCCACAAGGCAAACCTCAGCTTTACAACAGACAACTCAGAGGAATGCTCAGCCATGAACACCGCCCTCAAGTTCAAGCACGCAGAATGAGTTCAGCTGACGGATGGACGGGCACATACATCTTACAAGAATAGCCGGTCTGTACATGTATATGCACTCAAGTTCTGGCAAACAAATTCATCTCATCAAAACAAGTGTTAAAAGTGTGCGGAAGAGAGAACTCAGCACATTCCGGTTCAGTTAAACTCGACAAAACACAAAAAAAACCTATAGATATGTGAGGGAAGAAGAGAAGGCCATCTTTACTGGCAATGAATCACCAGTGATTCGTTATTCACTCTACGCATGAGGATGGCGAAGACCAAAGTATGGTTCGATTTTCATGTGCCGGACATGCTCCGTCCTGTGCAGCTCGCATGCTTTCACAAGCTCCGCTTTCGTCTCAAAGAGCAGGATACAGAAGAGACGCTGTCGAATCAACACTCTATCTGGGTAGCATCCAGCTTTGCTCATAAGGCTCTTCACCTCGTGCTCCTCTGGACACGGAGACCACAGGGCCATGTAGGCTAGGTACGGTGGGGGAAGATCAACGAGGCTAATCAGATACGCCACCAGGCTGGGGCGTACGACCATGCCCCGTACCGTTTCCGAACGGCTCAGGTTCAGTGCGGCCACAAGATGCTTCTTCTCGCCAAATTGCATGACGGCACTGCTCGCGTCGAGCTTCCACGCTCGCGTGGGCTCCTGCTCTTTAAACAGTTCCATCAGCTCGTCTGGCGAGAGGCCGTTCGTTCCCCACACCTCAGCGCTGTACGGTGGACTGTGCGGCAGTGGCACTCGTTTCCCGTTTCTGGTCTTTATCCGCTTCGCGGTCGTCGCTGCATCTCGCGCTGCTGCCAGTCTATACGCGACCGAAGGCTGCTGCTGCGGTGTCGGCTGGCGGCTGTGATGATAATCATCCGATGTTAACGACGCTCCGGTAGGATTTCCAGACACCGAGACCAATCGATTGTTGGGCCTTTTCTGCTGCTGCTGCTGCAGTGCTTGTTCGCCTTGTGCTTGCTCCGCCGGCCAGTTGTCTGCCTGCCGTTGCAGCAGCCGCCGTTTGTGCTGTACGTTTTGCTGTTCGGAGTTCTGTGCGTGCTGCCGTTCCGAGTACTGTCCGCTGCGAGTTGTCTGAGCCATATGACCATGGCCGGCTATAATGCCGGACGATGCTGCAAACGTGAACGGTATTGGCATGTTGGTGGGCGGCAGCGACGATGGCGTGGGCTGTGACGCGCCGGCGTGCATGTATGCATGCTGTAGCTGCTGGTCTGACAGGGGAAAGCACGTGGGGTCTACGTTCAGTGTGAGCATCGTTGGATACTTGCCGTCCTGCCCGAGCTCCACTTCCCACACCTCTTCCAAACTATCAAATACTATCCGCGCCGTTCGGGCATCTTTACCCGGCTCTCCTGAATCATCGCCACTCTCCTCCTTGACTGGCGCTCCGGCTTGGCCAGCCGCTTCTTGCCTCCTGTCCAAAGCGTGAGACTGTTGCTCATTTCGGATCGCTTCACTAGTTGCTGAGTGACGTTTGCTGGCCGCTCCAGCAATGAACGTGCGGAAGAAACTACGACTCGCTCCCAGCCCTGCACTGATCGAACTAGAAGCACAGGGCACGGCTGTAAACCGAGAGAGGTATCTCCTTGCCCTGAACATCTCTCTGACTAGCTCCACATGCACAGCTTGCTCACAAGTCACATACTATTCCTTGCACGCGAGAAGACCAAAACAATCCAAAAGAATCGAATGAAACAATGTTCAATTATTTTGAGTGATTTTTACGCTTCGGACTACAACAACAAGTTCGATCTACTGATATCATGAAATTGACGTCATGCGCTAACGCATCAAAAAAACTAAAACAAAAAAAGATAGGTACAGTACAGATAGCTCACGGCTAGGCTAGGCTGTCACTGCACTTGGATCGCGGCAACTACCGGTACTTACTTAGTTTTCTGCACGTGAACCATGAAAAATCAATGCATGCTCGTGCATAACCAGTCAGCTGGCCTGCTCGCCTGTCATGGCACGCGGGGATTCATATTCACTTTGTTGTACTTTAATATGGAGCCCCAAAGTTCGGAAAATAATTGTGCGTTTTTCGTACTTGCAAGTGGCCATAAGTACAACAATATGTTACACGAGTACCGGTATCCCTATTAAAAAGGTGTCCATGCATGCTAGTGATTATCATGGAAAAGGGAAAATATTACTTCTAGTAATCTAGTAATAAATTTGTTAGTTGACTTTTGACTATTTTTCATTGCCAAATCAGTTTGAGTTCAGTCAGTACCTTTGAAAATTATCATGTTTAAGGTGGCAGACTACCCAAAAAATCGCTGAAAAATCGAATTTGTAAATTCATATTGAGTGTTACGTCAGTTGAAAGAGCATGAATAGCTGCAAATTCTCTGAAAATGGTGTCCCGATCTGACCGGCCGTTCAAGAGTTATGGCCGAAAATGTGCCCTTGCAAGGAAAGATTTTTTGTTGCACGCTGTCATTTGTTGGCAGCACTGTATTTGAATGTGAGCAGACCGTGCGCAACTTGTCGTATCATGGAAACACGTGAAAGTGTGCAGAATTTTGCTCCAAGTCCAAAAAATCAGGTTTTTGAGCCACGTATTGGGCTGCACGGCGGCGGGCAAAGCAAAGCCCGCCGCCGTGCAGCAGGACTTTTGCCAGCACCCTCGTGACGTTGCAGATATGTGGCTTGATATGATTTGTAGTTGACGTTGATTTAGTGACTTTGGCAAGTTTGAGTCGTGTCAAGAAGTCAGGTAGGATTCAGTACTAGGCAGTAGTGAAACGTGAGTGGTAGTCTTTGCCGGTTTCTGAGGGTATCCTGGATTTGGTGTGCAGCGCTGTGGAAATGGCTTGCTGTGGAGGTCCCAGCACTGGATGTTGTATCAAAGGTACGACCTCGTAGCACGTGCTAAACCTAAAAAAATTCAAAAATTGACTTGGGTCTGTGGGAGTGTGTGAGACAACGCCCACTCGTTCCGTTGTGACAGATTCCAGGGCCTCGTTGAGGGGCCCTACCCCATCACCCATGGCTGCTTCTGGACTTGTTCTAGGTTTGAGTCGCGCGCACGAACAGAATGAGCACGAAAATGTGAAAAAAAATTGTAAATGCATTTGTTTGGCTCCTGGGTGGCTCGCACACCGTAGCACTATGCCGGAAATTTGAGTTTTTCCGGCCTGGAAAGCCTGTCGCAGGAGTGTGTGGTCAAAAGTTCACTCAAATCCATTGAGAAACACCAAAGTTACTGTCAATTGAATGCCATATGAAATTTATGGGTAGGCTGCCCCCTTAACTGTCTTCGTAATCGTCATACTCGTCCAACCGATATGTCACCCTCACCCTGCGAATAATCAGCTCATCTCTTCCGCAGCTCCACTGACGCCTCCACCTCTCCTTCCATCATGACCGAACACCAACTATAACTCTTTTTTTTTAAATTATTATAGCAATGTCTGAAGCCTGCACAGTCATAGCTACTAAAATCCAGAGGTCATGACTTCGTATCATGAACAATGTACATGTAGATATACATGTATGCAGAGTCAGTTTGCGGACTACCCGTCACTATCTCGTCCGCTCCAGGATACCCAGTGATAACGGCTGATTCACTCACATCTTCTGCTACATGTACTGCAGTATCAG